GAGAGAGAGAGAGAGAGAATCCCAAGCAGGCTCCATGCTTAGCAAAGAGCCTGACGCGGGGCTTGATCCCACGATCCTGGGATCATGACCTGAACCGAAATCAAGAGTCAGATGCTCAACCAGCTGAGCCGCCCAGGTGTCCCTCTTTTGCTCTTCAGCTAGAGCAAGTATGTCCTCACTCAGTCCCAGCCCAGGCATACGGCATACAGGGGGTTTTGCACCAACACTTGGCCGTTCGGAGACATCAGAGCTGTGGTGTCCCTCAGTGATCCTCAGACTTGGTCCTAGGAAAGAACGCAGGGAGGTTCTGTTATATTTGGAGGGACTTTATCAAAATACTGATTTCTTCTTCTTACGTTTACTTTTTCTGACGCCGAGAGGACCCTTGCTGTTCATTTTGGGAGGGCCTTGATTGCAAAACATCTACATTCCTTAGGAGTAATGTCACCTTAATGATCAAAGGGGAGTAAAAATTTGCCCAAAGAAAGCAACGGCTGTTACTTGCTCCACTCTTTTGTCATCAGAGTCCTCAAGGACTGCAAATCTAACAAGAACCTTTGGAACACTTGATTGTTTCTTTGGATGGTTCTTATGCAGCCAGTGATTGTGAACATCTAAATTTGTGCTTTAATTGGACGGAGCATATTTGTCATAAAGGGCAGATTTCAGGGCAACGGTGTCCCACCATGCCTGTAGGACACGGAAATGGGACATACCCGAGGGCATTTCAGTCGCTGATCTGATCACTCACAGCTCTCTTCATGTATCAGGGGCGACGCGGCCCAGAAGCTGACTTGGTGGTTCCTTATTGGGGTTTTCCATTTTCCTAAAGAATGTTCTAAGAAGTGAGACAAGTCGCTCCCTCCCTCTCAGTTCCTCTCTCTGTAAACATAGCCTGCCTTTCCCTCCTTCAGGCTGATTATGAGTGAGCTGTATGACTGGGCTCCAGTTGGATATTTAGCTTATAAGCCATAAGAGAACCTGTTCGTTGGATAATTTAAAGTGATGCGTATATTAATTGAGTTTGCCTTTAGCAAACCATTTCACCTGCTGATGGTATTCTCTGGAAGGTGTGTGTGTATGTATGTATGTGTGTGTGTGTGTGTATATACTCAAACTAGGGCAGTGTGTGTGTGTGTATTTTCTGTACTTATTCATGATTCCAGAGAGATTTGGGCTTTAGCTGTGTGTCTAGTCCTATGCTATCGGTAACCTTTACTCGTAACAACAACAAAAAAGAGATCATTTGACATTTGACAGCGAGTGAGTCCTACGTCCTCATGCTTCAGTACAGTCTCATGACTGATATGGCAAAAGGTCAATCAAGGTGTTCCAAGAAAAATAGGGTTTTCTGGTGTTCTCAGTGCTAAGCAGAAAACCCCTAACGTCTACACGGAGGCCACGATTGGTTCTAAACATCTTTGGTGAAAACCCTCCTCTAGCACTTTAGTACCTTTTCTTGCTGAAAGGTACTAAGCATAAAATCTTTAAAGAGAACTCTGTGCTTTTTTTTTAGAATCTTGGGGTCACGGATATCAGTTTGTATCACACAGGGCTCTAGGGGTAGAAGATAAAAGACAATGGGCCTAAATTTATATTATGTGTGGGCCATACTCTCCAAAGAGGAGTTTGCATTGTACAGCTGAGTTCGTTAAGGAATATGATGAATTGGATTTCCTCTGGTTAATTGAGGTTTTCCTGTTCTTGCGTTAAAATGTGGAAATGGCTTCCAGTTTAAATTGGGCATAATCTCCATGCCAGTCATTTGCAGAGGCAAGCCCTGATTCCGGGTGCTCATGGCGTGGGGACTTTGGGCTCATTCTGTAAAATTTCATAAATTCTGCCTAATGGTCTCTAATTAATTTGCCGATAAAACTCTTACAGCGGATTCACTGAAAGCAAGTTCAGTTAAAGACTCTCCCTCTTCCTTCTTTTGCCATCATTTGCTCCCCCTTCCCCCCTCTTGTTTTTCTCTCCCCTTCTCTTCTCTCATTCACTGTCAGGAAAGACTACCTTTGAAGGGACAATTCTGTACCGAGCTGCACCGGGCAAGACGGAGGGCCACAGACGCTATTACAGTGAGTGACCTTAATGAACAGCAGGAAGCAATTGTAAAGTTAAGATCCGGGTAGTCGTGGTTCTTGATGCGGCCGCACTTTCCTGAGCTGCTCATGCTTCTGCCAAGTGTCCGTGTGAATTTCTGATCCAAGGACATGGACTTATCTGCCTGAATAAGTGCTGTCTCCTTGGTGTGTGCTACAGGAGCATTCTCATCACCAGCCCTGGCGCTTTCTTGTTTGCTTTGTGCCTCTGCCATGTGTGTAACATGCGTGCATGAACCATGCGTGCAGAGAAGAGACCAGTAGCATTTGTCATGGCATACATACTTGTACCAGTATCTCTGGGCCTCTGAGCCGGTGTAAGACGGCTTCCCCTGGAGCTGTCATCCTCTCGTGGTTACTGCTTTTCCTGAGTGGGCCATTGGAAACCAATAAACCATTTCTTCATTGTGTTGTTCAAAGAAATGAGAATTTGGCATGACGGTCCATGCCAGAAGTGGTGTTCCGCCTTGCTCGCAGCCAGTCACCACACGACAGACTTCCTTTGGCAGGACCAACGTATAGCCTTTTGTGTCGTGAAATAAAGCTGCCAAAAGTTGAGGGGAAGGAGGTGAATGAGATTAACGAGTCAATTTCGTGAAGCCTTTAGAACAGTTCCTGCCACTGAACAGCACTGTACTTGTGCATTTTAAATTTAAACAAAAATGACTCACAGGTCTGAACTGATCCGTGCATGAATATTAAGGTAAATTACATGAAAGTGTAATTTATTAAGTCATCTGGCCTGCCACATGGCAAAGAAAATACATAGGGTGTGTCTGTACACATACGCGCACGTACCTACGTATACACCAGTGATGCAAGAGAAGGTTCGCATGTGAGTGCCAGAACCGTGCTTCTCAGACTGTCTGTGGTGAAGTTATTTTTATTTCCATCCCCCCGGGGACAGATACCTGGTCTTGGCGAACATGACTTTACTGTGCATGCAATGTGCCATCTGCACCTCACCACAGGCGTTTGACCAGGATTGGTCTATTCCCTGGTCACCCAGACGAGCCCACTGGCCACGTGTCTGAAGGCATACTGGTGCACTCTGCTATAAGCATTTCTGAACATGCGCAGTGCCTGTGCTGATCTCACTGTGCAACAGCAACGACCCCTTCGTGAACTGTCCCCGGCCCCCAGCCCACACTCTGGGCTGTCCTGCCTGTGGGTGTCGCCTGGCATTCTGAGCATGAATCTGGCATACTTCACGGGATAGCGTGTGTGATGAGCACCGGTAGGTAAAAGATACGGCACCAAACTAACATAAAAACGAAAAGTCACCTTTCTTTCCCTCCAAAGGGAAGGAGCTAGATTCTGAGTTATTTCACCAACCCAGATATTCAGCTATGTAATTTACCTACTTAAAAGTGACAGAAGCAGGCTGCCAGAATGTCTGGAAGACAAATCTGCCGTGTGTTTCCTTCCTGGTCCGTACTTACGTGGTTGACTGACCGCGCCACCTCTCCCTGTGTTACGCGAAGAGCATTTCTCACCGTGATTAATATAAAGTCATTAAGATGAGCCCGGGAGGCAGCAAATCCATGAAACCAGAAGCTCAGGGAAATCCAAACGGCAGTGGTCACAGATATTATGGTTCTACCTCATGAGGAATGATAGAAGACTCCTTCAGATTCCTCTCTCTGAAGAACTCACACAGCCTTGCCCTAAACCATTTGCTCTGCTGCTGGTGCTGCTGGTGCTGCTGGTGGGGAGGGCAGGATGGTGATGGTTTCTTGCCACTAACTCTTTCTTTATTCCACCCTCAAATGGTTCCTTCCAACCCAGAAAGGAATATACAAGCCATTTATCACATAGAAAGAATCCATACGGCGAAATGAGAACATGTTAAAGGGGGAATGACACAATATTTAGACTCCAAAATTGTATCTCCAGCAGGGATATTTCTGAAAACAATGAACAGATAAACACATGAACGGGTAGCTAATCCAGAGGGGTTGTCCGTGTTTGCACACTCAGCTCCGGTCCTAGAAATTGTGGCTGACCCCACTGCTGTAGGCCGCTTCTCAGCGCCCTGCCCTCCGCTTTTGCTCACAGATGCTATTCTTGAGTTAATTCAAATGTACACCAAGGATCGTCCTCCTCCCCCCCCTTCCTTTTTGGCTTATAAGTAACCATTTTATTAAAAACAGCAGCAGCAACAAACACAGCCATTGTTTTAATTTTAAGGATTTGATTTTGAAACTTGTTAGCAATTTATAATGACCTTTCTATATTTTATCTGTTTTCATTTAACAGTTTCTTCCTGCACTGAGACTTATTTATTTGAATGACTTCGACATTTTTTAACGCTTTATGTGAGCAATTATTCGGTGTCTTGTTCTTACGTACTAGGAGGCCACCTTCCCCTACAGAAAGATAACGCACAATCGGTTAATACGGAACAAAGTTTGATGATGTGCTTTCATCAAGGGCATTGTTGTCATCAGGGCACATGTAGTCAATGTTCTGGAACTATTCTCCACAGCTAGAGGTTTTAGAGACCAATTGAATGGCAGACTAGTATTCCATAAGATATCCTTTGAATCCCGCCCTTTGATGGCATGACTGGTGTACTGACTTTCAAAGTAAGAATGTACACTCAGAAATTAAGTAGGAAACAAATAGGCTCTTCCTTTTAGGAGCATGATTGTGGGCAGAGCCTGGGGAAAAAAGAATCTGGGAGGTAAGTGTTCACGTTGTCTTGCTGATAACTATTTGATGACTTCCGACACTTGCTGCAAGAGGTCAAAGGAAGGGTGTCGTGTCCCCAACGTCCTTCTTTAGCAAGGGATTCAGCTTTGCGAAGATGGTGGTATTAAAGGAGGGAAGAAGAGAAGTAGGCTTGGGGGCTTCTGGCCTCCGGGAGGGCAGCTTCCTTTCCCTCTTTAACAAACACAGTCATCTCGCCAGTGAAAGCGTCTCAATGTCAAGTTTGGTTTAATGCTTTCCTAGAGAATCATGCCTGCGTGCATTTATTCCTTGTGAAACCATCCAAAGAGATTTAATTCTTTGGCAGTCATAATTTTGTGTGGTTTCTTTAATTGCTAATTTGTTTAAATGGCTTTTAGCTTTACAGTTTCCCTTCAGGAAATGTTATTTTCATTGCTAATTGCTAATTGCCATGAGTCATAGAGATTGGAGGTACAGTATGTGGTACTGACTGGGTGGGGAGGGTTGTTATTGCACAGACTGTGGCAAAACAAATTTGTATTAGAATCAGGTTCCGGCTGAAGAGAGGTGAAATATCACGCTTACAAAGAGATCTGCTTTGAAATTAGATTTTTTTAAAAGAATTTTGATTCACTTCTTAAAATTAAAGGCTGGGGGTGGGGAGATCGAACAAAACTCAGAGCCACCCAAATGCAACGTATTCGACACGCTAAATGAAAAGTCCCAGTGCAGGTTATCCTGTGCCCAGAAACACTTTCAGAGGTGGCTCCTGGCTGGCTGTGAGGTGCTTCACAGCTATGGCTGATTTCTGAGCTCTTTCTCTCCCCGTCCCCACTCTTGACAGGTTTGAGGGAAACCACAGGCTCCGAGAGTGATGGGGGTGACTCGAGCAGTACCAAATCCGAAGGTGCCAACGGGACAGTCGCAACCGCAGCAATCCAGCCGAAGAAAGTTAAGGGAGTGGGCTTTGGAGATATATTCAAAGACAAACCAATAAAACTAAGACCAAGGTCGATTGAAGTAGAGAATGACTTTCTACCGGTGGAGAAGGTATGTTTGACGGTTTTTGCTTTATTTCAACATAGTGCAGAGTACCCAAAAGTCCATTGTAGGGCTTGGCATCTGAGACTCCTTACGCCTCTTTTGGGGGTGTCGGCATCCTCACGTGCGGGCTGTTCACCTTCTCCCCTTTGAGGTGCTCCCTCCGTGTGGGAACTGCTTTCCTGGAAGGGCTCACGCTCCAGTTTGTGGGTTCTTTTCTTACTGATCTCTCAATGGAATGTGTCTCTGTGTGACTTTTCAAATGGACCTACACTTCTCGGTTCCCCGCCCCCCGCCCCCAAAAAGCCCCTCATGCCTGGACACGGCTCATCTTTCGCTTCTCCTCGTCCTCGTCTCCAGTGCCTCGTGCCTGCGAGTGTTGGTTGACTGGTTCTGCGGTAGAGGAAAGGGTTGTGCGCTTTTCCTCTAGGAGTTAGGTGGGAATGATTTCAGACTGCCGAAAGGAAGCCTCCTGCGTGTGTGTATGATGGAGACGGGCCGTGCTGAGACTCCCTGGATGGTTACCATCAGGAAGCTGGCTGTTTTCTTCCACCTCTGGTTCTGGGTTGGCGAGAGGCAGGCGGCGTCCTGCTGCCGAGTACACGGTTGCCACAGCAACACACCCAGAGCCCTCGCACTTGTGGCTGTCGGTGATGTCTACTGTGGTACGCTTCCGAGCACCATAGCTTTACTTAGAATTTGATAAATTCTGTGGAATTTTCCAGATCGTAATAAGCTACACTCGTGCTGTGCTTAAGGAATGTTGGTGAATTCGATTTAGTGCTGAATCGTTTGCTTTGATGTTCGTGCCAGTAGGCTTGGGGGATGGGACATTGGCAGCACCTCTAATGCAGGTTTATCAGTGGCTTTAAAATGGTTTCCATTTTTCAGGTGAAATGAATTTTTCAAAGTTGCCATCATCTTCCACAGCTGTGGAACTTCCACCCACCTCTTGCCCCCAGCAACCTTGCCCGGTGTCATGCATTAGAAACAATCTGGAAAGGAAACTTTTGGACACTTAGTTCTCTTGAGGATGAAAAAAAGGCAGAAAGATTTAGACATGAAAGACTGTTCCATGTGCACTTCTTTCACTGCAGCTTATCGGAGCCAGCCTTGTTTCTTTCAGTAAGCAATAGACGATGTGTCTCAAGATCTGAAAACTGTCTAGATGCTATACCAGCTTGCGAGCTCATTTCTCTTTCACATGATCACTCTCAGACTCCTGTAAGTATTTACAAAAGAGCAAGTCCCCATCTTGGGAAGAAACGATGGATGTAGTTTTTCTTCATTTTACTCCAGTGGTTGAAATGAACATGACCGTTGACTTGGTCAGCAAACGCTTAATGCCTTTTGTTTGCTTTATGATTCGTGGTCTTATTCTCCTCTGTGTAGAAGGACAGTGTGTGTGTGTGTGTGTGTGTGTGTGTGTGTGTGTGTGTGTGTGACTTTTATTAATGCTATGAATATTTGTTCTGACCACAGTAGTAAATTGGGTCATTAGCAGTAGCAGTATCGGCATCACAGATAATAATCCCAAGTTTGTACCTCAGCACGCTTTTCCTCTGGACCCGAGGGCCACATGCCCAGCTGCCGAATTGCACATCTCCACGTGAAGACCTTAAATTCCTACCAGCTTGTCCAACCCTGAACTCCTCATCATCCCCCTCAAACCACTCTGCCCACAGCCTTCCCTGTCTCAGGGAAGGGCGTCCTACTTCCCCTCCTACAGGTTCGGGACGAAAGCCTTAGGGTTATCCCTGACTTCCTTCTCTCATAACCCGCGTCCGATCCATCAGGAGACTCCATCAGCTCTGCCTCCTGTGAATGTTGAGCACCCACCACGACTCATCATCTCATCGCCTCCGTGGCGCCCCTGCTCTCTCATCATCACCCAGTGGCTTCCTAATAGGGCTTTCTGCTTCTCCCCTTCCCCTACAGTCTAGTCTCAACAGTGAAGTGAGGGTGATCCTTTGAAATCCCAAGTCTGATCGTGCCACTCCTCTGCTTGCACCCCTGGAGAGGCTCTCCAGAGAACCAAAGTGAAAGGCCTCCCCAGGGCCCCCAGGCTGAAGTGACTCGACTCTGTTACCACTTGGACTTTCTCCCTCGCCTTCTCCCCTCGTTCCCTCTGTCCTGGCCCCTTGCTTTTCTTTAAGCATACCAAACACTTTCCCCCTTGGGGACCTTTACCACAGTGGTTTCTCGTGGCTAGACACCCTGTATCCACCTGCTCACTTGCCTGCATGCCTCTTCCCCGGCTGCTTTGCTTGGACTTCACCTTTTCAATGAGCCGTGCCCTGGCCCACTCGTCCCGAGACCCGTCCCCTTAGCTCACCCTGCTTACTTGTGCTGCATTTTTTGGTTTTCCAGCATGCAGCCCTTTCTAACATGGGATTTATTTTTTATTATGTTTATTATTTACTTTGTTCACCAATATATGCTATGTGCTTAGAACACCGTGTGGCACCTGGTAGGTTAGGTGTGTTCAGTAAGTAATAGGTGCATGAATAATATTAAAACTGTATTAACGTGGCACTCTGGAGATTACAGACCTCTATAATATGATGGGACTGGGTGGGATTAGGTAATAGGTATATAGTTGAAAGTATGGTGGTTTTTTGGTTCACTGTGGTTTTGTGAAGCAGAGATTTATTGTATTGGCCTTGGTGACATGACATGTTAACATCATCAGAGTAATATATATATGTGTGTGTGCATGTGTATGCATCTTGATTCATGATTTGTTTGCAGAAGGAAACCATGTGCTGGCAGCAGTCTTAACCTGCTTCTCATTGCGGAGCCCCTGGGGAAAACATAAACTTCCCAGCTTGCTTTACTGGCTGTGGACAATTTTTTAAAGCATCTAAAAGGACTCAAAACTATCTCCACCCACTGTTGTTGGCACTATGGATAGCTGCATAGATTTATGGATCCATTATTTTATTGCACAACCCGGCATGAGGGCTGGTGAGCGCAATAATGTTTTACTAGTGCGCAGCCTGGTTCTCGTCACTTTTGAGATGGTTTTGTGTCCAAGATTTATATTTGAGGAAGGAAGTTTCCTTGGAGAATTGAGCTCACTATTTTGATTTTGCAGAAGCACAGACTGAATCTCGTGTGACAGCATTTGTTAGGTTGAGATCCAAGCGGGTCTTCCACATGGGCTGGGGCAGTTGGCTTTCTTAGATGGCTGGTTTGATAAGTTGGATGAAGGAAAAAAGGAATTTTGTAATTTTTAACAACTGCAAGTATATTATATTGTCCCTTCAGGTTGTGAAGTTTTGAGATCCACATTTCTCAGTTGCTAGAAAATGTTGTGCTTATTTTAGCTATGCTCTAATCCATATCAGCCTAACCAGAGTGACCAAAGGCTGATAATTATACAGCAGGAGAGGTATTACGTAACATTCCCCACCCCAACAATAGGGAAATAGTACTCTCGCTTCTCAATTGATCGAGCTATAAGGAAGGACCCCGTTTCTGAGTCCTTTCAATACTACCGGTTGGATATGCCTGTGAATGATTTGTTTAATGCACCATTTAACTGAAATATTTACAGATGAAGTTACTTAATGTCTGAGATTTTGCTTCCAGCAATTTGGAAGATGGAAGAGTGGGTAGGGCACAAAGGAAATGAGACTGGTCATGAGTTGATAATTGTTGAAACTGGGTGGTGAATACATGGTGGGTCAGTAGCCTATAGTCTATTTTTATATATGTTGTAAATTTCCCTTGATAGAAAGTTAAAGAAAAAAAGAAGAACCTTGGGAAAAATATGTAACATTTAAACTAAGCTCAGAGGTAAGTATGTGTTGTATTAAAATAATGGAAAATACGGTGTGGCCAAAGATGAACCAAGTTAAATATCAGAAGATTAGAAGAGCATGGTACCATTCATTGTCCTAGCCGATTGACCCTGACAAAATCACTTAACCTCAACTGGGCCATATGTAAAATGGAAATACTCTGTACACCTATCCTACCTCTTAGGACTTTACAAAATGTTATATAACAGAAAATACTTTGAAATTATAAACGTAACTCGTTTCAACTAGTATTTATTGAGTACTCACTATATGTTCAGCACTGGGGTAACAGGACCAGGTCACTGCCCTCGCGGAGCTGCAGAACAATAAACAAGCAATAACAATACAGGTGTGGCGAATGCCACAGGTTGAGAGCAAGGTGCATGGCCGGAAGTAGTGAGTTGTGAGGGAGGCTGGAGAGTGAGTGTTCATGTACAAGTGTACCTCCTTCATACAGGAAATAATGTTTAGACTTCCTATAGGACGTGATGTCTATAGGCTTACAGGAAGTGATGTTTAGGCTGAGAACCATGGCGTCCCGTTGACATTCGTGAAGCCAAAGAGTATAGAGTTGTTAAGGTGAGAAGAACAACATGTATTAATGCCTGAAAGGGAAATTGAGATAGCACAGGACACATGTTGAGGCTTCAGCAGGAAGTGGGGAGAGATGAAAATAAAAAGGAACAGGGCCCAGGTCAGGAAGGGCCTGGTGACTTGTTAAGTAGTTTAGACGTGATCTTAAAGGCAATGAGGAGCATCAATAGGGAGCTATTTTCAGCAGGAGAGTGACATGATTGGGTAGGTGATTTAGAGAAAGTATTCCAATTTGCAATGGGAGGAGTGGATTACAGAAGATAGGGTAACTAAAATTCAGAAAAGAGGTTAACAGAAACTTATTTTGACTCTCTCAATAACCCCCCGCCCCCATCTAGGTTCTAAACCAGTTAATGAATAAGATGAGTCAGTGGATGGAGAATCAACATAATATTTTTGCTCCTTTTTCAGTATGGGTATCCCTTTCATCCAGCAGTGTTTATTGAAAAGATTGTCCTTCCTGCACTGCACAGCCGTTATCACCTTTGTCATAATTGAAGTGTCTGTGTATGTTTTAGTTCATCTCTGAACTCTGTGTTCTGTTGGTCTATATTTGTCCCTGCACTCATTCTATACTACTTCAATTACTGTAGCTATAGAGTCATTCTT